GATTTTCTCAATATTTTGATTTTTTTGCACCCTCAGATTCCAGATTTTCAAATAGTTGTATCTCGGCCAAATATTGTCCTATCATAACAAACCATACATCAATGGAAAGCTATTTATTCAGCTTTCAGATGATGTATAAGTATTGTTTTGTAAGTGCTGCTGAAGTGGAGATGATCTTTATGCACCAAGAGCTTGTAACACTCCAAAGAGAAAGGAAAAAATTAAATCGCATCATATGACCCCTTTAAGAGAAAACGGCTTTTAAAGATGTATTATTTTTTTAATCTACAGGCACAAATAGATAAAGTGTGAAGAAATAAACACTTCACATGTGTATTGAGGATGTTTTCTCTCCACTAGTCTGAAAGAAGACTTGTTATGGAAACCAAATAGCCCAAAATCTTAAAATTGACCAGAGCATAACAATCAAGGTTTTTGCCTGTAGTTGCTTGCTTAAAAGGCCTATGGTGCTATAACGTGTATGCCCCAAAAAGCCATCATTGCCATACCCTGATATAAAAACATCTTAAGATACCCAAATTCAAGAATAACTGTTTCAGAAAGACCTGATTCTATTTGGGGCCCTTTGACCGAAACAAGACATTACAGATATTTGTGACACTGTAAGTTATCCGCACCTGTTCGTGGCTCTTGGATGTAGGTATGATTATTGCTAAAATACAGATGAGCTGAAAAATGGCCCCTAGAAATAATCCATAACGCAGGAGGCTCTCGAAGAAAGTGGGTTCAGGAACCTCCGGAGGAGAAAGATCCAGATCCGCGGACATGCTGCGGAGCTGACTGAGGGAAAACAGCACAACATACACTCACATGACATTACTATAGCTCGTGCAGACAACTCAAAACAAGCTAAGCAGTGCAAAACCAACAGCAGTGTTTGATTACAGCGGGAGTGTTCAGTGCTAAAATACCATCACACACAAACAAAACAAACCCATTACCTGGACATATAAATCGTAGCCTTTTCTGTGTTGTGGAAAATTGATGATTACTAAAAAAGAAACGGCAGACTTTTTCCGTTTGTTGTCAGAGTTAGGATAGGGATAAACACATCCGGGTTAAGGCTAGAAGAGATACGTATGGCGCTACTGGGCATGCGCACATCAATACTGCTGTACGGGAGGAGAAATCGTACAAATTTAATAACCGGCAGAATGGGCAGATACGGTTGGCTTAAATAATACCTCTTATATTGTGATTATTATTCAATGTTTTATTTAAATTCAATAGTTTTCCTTTTACTTTAAGGTGTACTATTTCAGCGCGCCGCTAAAGTAGCTGGGCTTTGTCACGTGGTGTTACTTTTCTCAGCACAGAGCAGGACGGACCAATCACAGTGAATCAAAATTCACCGACTAAGTAACCGTTGTTTTTATCACAGAAAAATAATTACTATACATTTCATTGCATATTATATACTTACACTCATTATTATTATTATTATATATTTTAAATAATTCATACAGATTTCAGAGACAGATTTCCATTTGTGTAAGGCATCTCTTCATGAGAAATTAGCGAGAGCACACAAATGCGCTCAATGCGTGAAATAATCACTAGGTATCAAAAGCTACAAAAACAAAAACATGGCTACATATGACAAATATCTATGTTGTTTTGGTTAAAATATGTGACCGTGGACCACAAAATCAGCCAAAAGTAGCAGGGGTATATTTGTAGCAATAGCCAACAATACATTGAATGGGTCAAAATGATCGATTTGTTTGTTGTTGTTGCCAAAACTCATTGATTAGGGTGTTAAATAAAGATCATGTTCCATGAAGATATCTTGTAAATTTCCTACCGTAAATATAAGTATAAGTTTTTGATTAGTAATATGCATTGCTAAGAACTTCATTTGGACCACTTTAAAGGCGATTTTCTCAATATTTTGATTTTTTTGCACCCTCAGATTCCATATTTTCAAATAGCTCAGCCAAATATTGCTCTATACTAACAAACCATACATCAATGGAAAGCTTATTTATTCAGCTTTCAACTGATATATAAGTCTCAATTTTAAAAAATTGACCCTTACGACTGGTTTTGTGTTCCAGGGTCACATTGTATTCTTAAAAGAATCTTGGAGTACTAGAAAAATCCCACACATGAGTAATACTCATTCATGTTTAATTTCAAGGACTGACACATCACTCCAAACAAATAATATATTTAAAAGAACTTTATTTCCTATGATTAACTAATCGACAACTCATGGATAAATCTGCATGGATAAATTGGCATTGGTTTTCATCGAGGTTTTCACATCGGTTGTACAGGATGACAAGAAGCTACAAGAGCGGCCAGAGGAAAGGCTTTCTTTTTTCTTCATTGGCTGACGTGTTAGATCGCAGAAGGGAATTTCAAAGCATGCCAAAGCATCCACGAAAGGAATCGACAACACTGGAACCTCCACACTGGACGAACGCAAAAGGAAGGCATCAGTTCTTTGGGAGAGTCTTTAGATGGGATGGACGGGGAGTGTTAGGAGATGTTAGTAAGCTGAGATGTTGGCAGTATTGCATCGGGAAGGTCTTTGTGACTATATGGTCCGATATTAGAATGCAACGAATGGAAAACTGTCTTAACACAGAGAGGGAAGGGGGCCAGTCGACTGGCATCCACAGTGTCCCAGGGAAGACTGGGATTTTGTTGCTTGCTCTGCAGAGGAACACCAGAGCCCTGCAGTTTGATTCACGTCCACAGAAGAAACATTAAGACATTATTCTACATTGGTCCTACTGCAAAGTACAACACACAGAAGCAGACAAATATTCCTAAGCAGCTGTAGACAGTCCAAGGCTGTTCAACCGAGCAGAAAGTCATAGTAAAAGAAATGATTACATACAACTGACCGAACATTCAATGAAGGAATTAATTACCCATCCTGGCCTCTATGTATTTTGATTTAGGCAAACATTCAGCTGCCCCCGTCTAAAACATGGAAATAAAATACTTCAGCAGTGCCATCTGATCAGTAATTTTCCAAACATAGGAAAACGATAGATCATTATGTGAAAATATACAGCGTAGTTATTCAGAAAATCATACAGAAAATTAAATTGACAAATAAACAACTGATCTATTGGGCTGGTTGTCAATTGCACACATATTGCATAATAAAGTCATGCCATTGTACACTTGGATCACCATAATTATGATAATACATCTCTTAATAATTTATTTGCAAGCAATTATGTGAATATGCTGTTTATTATGTAATCTCAAATGACTTCAGTTGTCGTACTATAAACACGAGGGCATCACTTTCATATCCTTTCAGTTATTGTGAGGAACTTCAAAACCAAAACCGTCTTTGAACAGACAGTTGCTCTCCCATCGTTTTGGCTCCAATGCATGAAGGTTAATATGATTGATATCTGTTGAGGTGTTTGTTTTGTCTGAAAACGATGAGCTCTTGCGAGGGCCCATGCATATGGCTTCTATAGTTTCAGCAAGTGGTTTTACACACTGTACATTAAAAGGTGAATCTCACGAGACAACATTCAGGTCATATCAATCAAAATTTCGAATAGGATCAAATGAAGGACCATTACTACTTTTTGCATTATTATAAAAATTAAGCACATTTTTTACACTGACTTCTCATTAACCTAATGCAATGCAATGTGATAAAACACAATGCAATAAAATAAAATGGTCCAAAACATTTCTTAATGCAAAATACACTTTGAGTCTTCTGAATTTGTGGTGAAATGTAACCCGGATGTGTTTTTGAGAGATTCACCCTAACAAGACATTCCTGTAAATTCACAACCTGAACATTTTTATTTCTTATTTTCACATCAACAGGACAGAATAAACACAGAAACGTGACAAATACATGGACAAGAAAGGTAAACAAATGCAAATAAAATCAAACTGACACCACAAGCATGAGTCGAACACTCACGTTACACACAGCTCTTATTTCTCTGTTGCAAATTGAAAAGTATTTTGAAAAACCCTATATTAATATATTCTTAAATGTCTTATGCCCTTTCAGGGCAATTTCATAAAATGTGCATTCAGTGCATTTTCTTTCCTCTACATTTTATTATCAAAATGACAAATGCCACACGTACACAATATAATTATGCTCTATCTTTAAAACATGCTTCTATGTACATCAATTTATAGGTACATGCTGTAGAAACCATGATCAATGCATATATACACAAGCATCGTTGGGGATGAAGAGTGGAGCTGAACGCTTCGGATTGCTTTATTAGTATCGTTTACCACACGCACACTTACTATTCCATTCCAGTTAATACTCTGGCATCTCGGAGAGTGGAGTTTACTGAATGAGTTTGAGCTCCGAACAAAGGCGGCAGTGACGTCAACCAGGTATTCAAATGTATGTCAAACAGGCCGAGATCTCAATGCATATATACACAAGCATCGTTGGGGATGAAGAGTGGAGCTGAACGCTTCGGATTGCTTTATTAGTATCGTTTACCACACGCACACTTACTATTCCATTCCAGTTAATACTCTGGCATCTCGGAGAGTGGAGTTTACTGAATGAGTTTGAGCTCCAAACAAAGTGACGTCAACCAGGTATTCAAATGTATGTCAAACAGGCCGAGATCATGAAAACACGACAGCGAGTGTAAAATGTAGGTGCAAAAATGGTCTCGTTTATTGATTTGTACGATCCCACGATACATTCACAGCCAGCTTTAGTGCCTGTCAGGTTTGGCCAGATGGGATCTTCTATATGCGAGATACACGAACGTCTGGATTTGGCACTGTAACCGCAGCATTACAGTAAAAGAGATGTGTCTATACCTTTACACTGACTGTGTAAACCATGCTTGACTCGTGTTGAATGTTTATTGCAACATTTCATGAATTATTAGCCCATTTATCAATATAGTCCTATCTAACTGCACTATTACAAAACCATAGACCTGAATCCTCTTTCTTTTGGGCACAAATGCAAATGTGACATGTTTTTATGCGTCTAATTGACCTATCGACAATGTAAACAAATCTGCCCTACACCGGTTGCTTCTCCTGGGACGTTTAAGTGAACGTGATCATTGCTTTGTAATTGTGCAAATGTGTAGATATTTGCGACATAAACTCACTATTATTTGCACTTATGATTAGGCACAAAATTCCAGCTCACCAGTTTATCCGACAAACAACATCCTGAAACAAATTCCTTCCTGTTCATGGAATGAAATAAAAGCCTTTTGTAATATTTAGGCCTAATCCAGTTGAAAATGTAAAATGTAGGTGCAAAAATGGTCTCGTTTATTGATTTTTTTGTGCAGTTTCATTGTTGGTTTTTACTATTTTTGTATTTGCGTATTGTGTATTTGGCTGGCAAATTGGGCTGTGTAAAATAT